CAGTTCAACGTCTAATGCATTAAAGGAAAGGAAATAGCACAAGGCAGAACAATATCCCTTTTCTTGTAATTCATACCCACAGGGCAAATTAATACCAACTCTCCATAGTGGCACCTAAGTAAGTAAGTGGTGTAATTGTGAGAATCACCACTGGCACATACCACCTTGTCAAATCAGTGTGGGAAAGAGGCAAAGGAAGCCTTTCTGCTCCAGACACACCTTCCCTTGGCCATAAACAAGTGTTCATCAGATGGAAATGTAAACAGTGCCAATAACAGGATCCAACTATTAGCATGAAATTCTGGAAATCCTTCCACTTTGGATTCAGTTCCCATGCATATGCTTGGTAAGGATGATATACCATTCAGACCTGCCCATTTAATATAATGGGGCCTGACCTGCAAGACTTAAGACTTCACACCTCACTTCAACAGAGTTTGCAAAGTTCACTTCTCTCGGTTTGCTCTGTCAGATGAACTGCGACTGACCTAAGCAGTGGAGGCTCCATTTTCACCGTCTTGGCATCAGGGGTCACATCCTCACTCAAGTTACAAATACTCTATTGCCCCTCGTGATTAAAAAAGCTTGATATTCAGAGAGAACTAGGTAGAAGTAAACCAATCTCAAGGACAGATCAAACCTATCAGTTTAACATGGCTTGAGCTGGCTTGTTTTCTGCTGCTCTAGAGACTAGGATGCAGAGCAACGGATTCAAGTTGTAGGAAAAGAGATTCCACCTAAACATTAGGAAGAAATTCCTGATGGCAATAGCCGTTTGGCAGTGGAATAGGCTGCCTCTGGTGTAGTGGAGTCTAGAGGTTTTTAAATTGAGGCTGGATGGCCATCTACCGAGAGTGCTTTGATTATTGTTCTGGTATGGCTGTACCAGGAGCTCCAATTTTATTTGCTTTGTATTAAATGTTTGCTTGCAGTCCAAGGTTTCAGGAGTCTGCAGAAGGGTGGCTTCCTTTGGTTACAGTCATAGGGCAAGTCACCTGTCCATCATCATTAAGTTTTGGTCCCGCCCCTTGCTCAGGGCAATTGGGAAGGGAAGGGAGCCATTTTTAGTCAGTCTCAGCAAGGAAAACAAATGTACAGGACGTGTGCAACCTTCCCCTGTACAAAAGCTTCAACCCTTAAGACTTTCCGGGGGAGAACAGTCTTAAGATCTCCAAAGATTTCCAGGAAAACAGCCCTAAAGACCAAAGAACTCCAGGTGGAGAACATCTAAGCCTTTACTGGTAGGTCCACTCGGCATTCGAGATGCAGTTCGACCCGGTAGCGGAGCCCACATCAGTAAGGGTTAGATTACAGTCAGCCTGGGAGAAGTTAAAAAGGGGATTTTCCATTTAAAGTAAAGAAGAAGTTATTGAAGACAGTTCCCTGTCCTTCGTGGGCAAGATTAGGAAGTCACCAGTTGCATAAAGCTTGGAAGCATTTGTTTAGCTTTATTGAAGACAAGAGAAGTTTCTGTTTGATTGTTCATTAATAAAAGACTTTGTTATATTTCACAAGCAATCTAAAGGTCATTTGTGGTGGAAAATCTCTGAGAACTTCTCCTTGGGCCCCCTGGCTTCTCGCTGGGCAAAGATTGCACCTCCTGTTCTAAAGGAAATTCTTTACAGGTCCGGCAGGTGACAGAACAATTTTTTTTCAGCATGGCAGAATGGAGTTGGACTGGGTGGCCTTTGGGGTCTCTTCCAATTCTAGGATTTTATGATCACACTACAACTTCCAGAATCTCAAGCAAGCCTGAGCAGTAGCCATACCATATGAAGTTTCTGGGGGATATGCTCCAGAAAAGTAATATTTTCAAACTCTGATAAAATGCTGAAGTTTTTTAGGAGGTATTTCGACCAGATATTTCTTTCAGGGAGTTGTGACCCTTAAAACCAAGTTCAAATCCCTAATATTTGGGAAGGAGACTAGGAGATTTTTCTAAAAGGGATTGTTCCATCTTCCAGGAGCATAGTTTGCATTACCCTTAGTTGTATGGGATAGCATTCTTTTGCATTTGCACCCTGAAAGTTAACAGCATCAGAGGGTGGAAAGCCAGCCTGCAGGTTTTTTTTGCAGCTATTGGTTTAGAAAGTATCTCTTTGGGTTTAGAGACCGCCCTTTTTCCTAGGGTTTGGGATCTCCATTTTGGAATCTTCCCTGCCTCCTTCAGTTTAGAAAAAAGGTCTCAGATGTGCTGTTAGGTCAAGCTAAGGCAGCTCTGAAAAAACCATTGTAAGTACAATTGAGTTAAATGAGTTATAGACAGAAAGATAATTGAGTAATTGAGTCTTAATTGAGTTACAGATAGATAGGAATTGAGCTATAGATAGATAAGATAATTAAGATATTATAGATAGAAATTGAGATTCTGTTGAGCTATAGAGAAGCATATTGAGATTTTGAGCTATTTAGTATAAAGGACTATTGAGATAGTTGTTGAGGGCTATTGAGATACTTATTGAACACTATTTGCTTTGTCTCCAAAACTAACCTTGGGCTGGAGAAGGGGAAGGCCTACACTTTCTAAAAGATAATAGCTCAGTGTTGGGGTAAAAAGATCTCAGGATTTTTTCTACCATTTGGAGGAAGGCAACTCAGCAACTAGAGGAAAAAAGAAAGAAAGAACATCTCTATGGTTTCACCAATTGACTGTTTTGTTTGTAACTTTGACAAGCTGTGCCAAGTCTGCAAGGACTTTGAGAAATAAATATTCTGTTTTGGTATTCAAAACCTGTAGTAGCCTCAGTTGCTAGGAATCTCAAGCTTTTAAGAAAGACATCCGTAGTTCGCCCAGATATAGAGAGAAGCACATCTTAGTTTTATTTTTGAAGTGTCTGGGTGTGACAGTACATGGATTTAGAAACATACATTTATAGATAGCACTGCAGAGATGCTAAGACTTCCTTGGCTGCACACACTAGCAATTGGTGGCATCCATATCAGCAGGACTTAAAAGTCCAAGCTTTAAGAGAGCTATCCAGGGTGCTGAACATTAGCTCATTATTTGATCAATAGTTCCAGCACCTTGGACAGCTCTTTCAAAACAGAATAGAGTGTATCCTACCAAGATGGATGCCACCAATCCCCAGTATATCAACTTACAATCCTTCACAAAGTAATATATACTAGAAATGTGGTCTGAGAATATTACACTGCCTTGGTCTGAAAGTCTGCAGGAATTGCCAACTGAAGCACATCTAAAAGATGTCCTGTTTGAACACTTCCAAAGATGACAAGTCCCCCACCTCCCAGGGCAATTTGTTCCACTGTCAGGTGGCTCTAACAGCATAGAACCGTGGTTTTCAACCAGTGATTCATTGACCACCAGAGGTCCACAAGAACTAAAATATGGTCCGTGGCCTTGCCGTTACTACACTATTGCAACAAGAGTGACTGGTCTCGTGAAACCCTCTTATAGTGTCGAGGCTTTTTAATTATGGTTTTCTGTGGGAGAGCACATGGAAACTACTGGATGGCATATGTTCTGTTTCAGAAACTAGAGCTGATGTGGTCTATCCAATGCAGTTTTCCGAATCAACACCCCAAATAACCAAAGCAAATCTAAAGGTTACCAAAAACTGATTCATAATTCTTTTGGTACTAATGTTGGAGAGTGGTCTCTGGTCAAAGTGGTCCCTGTTCAAAAAAGGTTGGGAACCACAGGTAAAGAAGCTTTTCCTAACATGTAAGCTACCTTCCCTTCAAGTCTGAAGCCATTGGTCCACATATTAGTTTCTGGAGTGGCCAAAACAAGGTTGCTCCATCTTCTATATGATCACCCTTCTGGTATATAAACATTGCTATAGTGGAGTGGTCTTCAATCCACTCTAGGTTTTTGTCCAGACTTTAAAGGAGCTGTCTAAAATGCTGAACCCAATAATAGTAAATAAGAATAATAAAACTTTATTTGTACCCCACTACCATCTCCCCAAGGGATTCGGTGCGGCTTACTTGAGGCCAAGCCCACAACACATCAAAAAATGAAACATAAAATAAAACAATCAATACAAAAACCTACAACAACCCAATCAATACAATACAATTCATATAAACAGAACAAAAATAAGCAATAAACTATCAATAGTGACATGCAAACATGTTAAAAACCAATGGCCGGTCCAAATGTAATAGATTAAAATTAAAGTAATGCTGACATGATGTGAGCATTTTCAGAGAGAATTGAGAGAATGCAGTTAGTCCTAGATCAATGGTAAAGTGCATTTTGAGGGCATATTGCTAAGAGTTTCCTTATTCTGGGAAGGCACACTGGAACAACCACATTTTTAGGCTCCTCCTGCCAAAGTTGGGGCATGTCTAATGTCCCTGGGAAGTGAGTTCCAGAGTTGAGGGGCCACCAGCGAGAAGGCCCTCTCCTTCGTCCCCACCAATCACGCCTGCGAAGGTGGTGGGAGCATGAGCTCCTTAAACAGGAGGGTTGATCGCTCCCTGTAAGAAGCACCAGTTAGCAACCTGGCTGCCGCCCGTTGTACCAATTGAAATGTCTGGGCCGTTTTCAAGGGCAGCCCCACGTAGAGTGCGTTACAGTAGTCCAATGGCCAAGATAGGTTTATCACTTTGGATAACTCCTGTAAAATTCAGATTAAAACCCACTGGCCAATTCACGAAAGTCATTCTTTCACTGGTTACAGGTATAATACTTGTAACTTCTTATTCTAAGCTCCACTGATTGGTGATGGGAATACTTACTTTTCTTACCACATTAGAGTTGCTGAGAAGCTCTTTTGAAATTCAGACTGAAACCTAGAGGAGATTCATTGCCTCACTAAAATATTATTGCGATTGACTAATAATATTTATATATGTCCAGGAACTTTCCAATTGTGTCCGTAGCAGCTATAAATTCCCTTTCCCCCCTCTGAAATGTCTTGATTGCATTATGGCACAGAATATTTCATCCATTCATTCCACAAGTATCATTCTGTGCAAGGTGTTTTGTCTTTGTATGCTGTTCAGTTGTTAAGTTCATGACACAAACTTACCTTTGGGAACATCCATGGGGTTGAGGCTGCCAATCAGATCTCTGACGTAAAGTCCATCTCCATCGTCTCTGCTTAGCCAATTGTTGCAGGGGAAATAAAACCGGAGGTGTGGCCTGGCCATGTCTGTCACGATCACACGGTCCAGATACCAACTGGGACTCATACTCGTGTTGTCATGCTCAATTCTGCATCACCAATAATGGAAGAAAAAAAAAAGACAACTCAAAATTTAAATACAGCTGAAAATGTTATATATGTATTATATGATACTGACAGCAAGGTTATATATGTATTATATGATACTGGCAGCAAGGTTGTTGTATGCTCAGAATGATAAAAATACTCATTTGGCTGCAAAAAAAGAAGTAGTTTCTTTAAGTTTTTGAAATGGCTGAAATAGACAAATTGTCTACTTTGATTAGAGAAAGATCATAAAACACTGGAAATTAATTCTTTTCATCTTTCACAAAAAAAAGAAAGATGAGATTATATTTGCAAGATGTGAAGATTGAAAGTTTTTTGAAGTACTTTAAGTCAGATGATATAATTTTAATTAAAAACCATAGTACAAAGAGGCTTAACATATTTTAAATTGTAAGAAGACAATTTTTTCATGTGTTTTCTGGGGAGGTAGATTAGGGTAGTGGTTTATAGTACTCAATCTACTGTAGTGTTGCATTGCTGTGTTTATGTAGTGTACTCATAGTCTATCATGTTGTTTATATACCAATAAAGATTAGAAACCGTTTAAACACAATTTAAAATCTCATTAAGATTTTATCCAGTCATACATCTTTTATCAGAGATGGACCATAATCTTACAGCAGAAGGTTTTCAATAAATCAGTGGTTCCCAACCTTTTTTTGACATTAGTACCAAAAGGGTTATGAATCATTTTTGGTCAACTTCAGATTCAGCTTGGTTATTTGGGGTGATGATTCAGAATATTGCATTGGATAGATCACATCAGCTCTAGTTTCTGATACAGAACATATGCTATCCAGGAGTCGCCATCTGCTCGCCCACAGAAAATCATATTTAATAATCTAGAGCTGATGTGGTCTATCCAATGCAATTTTCTAAATCAGCACCCCAGAAACAGGCCCAAACACAAAGACACCAAGGCACCCTTGCTTCCAGGCACCACATGGAATGGCTCCTCTCAAGGGGAGGGAGGAGGAGAAGAAGAAGCAGTCAAGAGGCTTGTTGTCACACCTCTCATGGGTAGTCAGCCTCTTTCCTCCTAACATCCCCATTGCCTCAGCACTATAAGGGTTTTTTTTTGCAAAACCAGTTGCTCTTGTTGCAATGGCGTTGTAATGGTGAGGATGCGGACCATATTTTAGTGCTTGGGGACCACTGGTGGTCCACAGACCACAGGTTGGGAACCATTACAATAAATGAACATCCTGACCAAGTATGTGGTAATAAAAAGACTAAAGAAAGAATGCTAAAATTTGAGAAAAGTAGTAATTTTTCCACCTCCTAAATTTTGGATTTGATCCTAATTATAAAAACTTCATGAGAACTTCAGAAGAGCCTCCTCAACCACAACAGAGTTTAGAAATGTTATCAGAAGGAGATCCTGGGAGTTAGCGAGGAATTTCTCAGAACCCAGTTTGCACCAATGGAGGTAAAGTAAGGGCAAAGGCAGGAGGAAGAGAAAGAAGATGTGGGCTTTCTAGTTTAAAAAATGAGGAGGGAAGCAAAACTGAAAAAGTAGAAATCCAAAGAGAGACACATGACGGAGGAGAGATTGCTTTCTTTAGGAATCTCTAAGTCATCCATTGTAACTCTGTGGTCAACCTCCAGCTGAAATTGACCATAATGTCATGCTGGAGAACCTAGAGATTCCAAGAGAAAATATTTGAATCAAATCCACAAAGGCCAAACCAACCAATGCAGAAGACCAACTGTGTCCAAAACATCAATCTGAATTGTGGTAACCCAGTCCTATTACCTGATCTTCTTTATAGTACCAACATTGTTGGTCCTCACTCGGAAGACATCCGTTTTGCTCCTTTCAAAGGCAGAGCAGCTCCTGAAATCAAAGCATAGTGATAGTGCAATTAACACATTATAGTAACTGTCATACTATTAAGTAAAAGGGTCTGCTTGGAGATCCTGTAGAACAGATGTTTCTTATATGTGTCTATGTCTATGACATGGTGATCCACTCGACTCCAGCATGCCTGGTTGTGAGAAATCTTTCAAAACTGCATTAACCAAAACGTGGAGGTGAAATTGTCATGCGACACAGAGAGCAAAAAGGAAGGGAGGTTACCAGTCTGCAGCCAGGAAAGGAGAACAAACAGAAATACTGCCCTGGAGGAAAGGCGTGCCATTTTATCTTTTCTGCAACATGGAGTAAAACAGAGGTGTTGTTGAGGTTTTTTTCTTTAACGTCATGCATTTTGCAAGGCTTTTAATCCATGAATGCTCTAGAAAACAGCTCACAGGGAAATGCATGCTATTCCATCCTTTTGCCATATCCCATGAACTGCAACATGATCAAGTGGGGAGTGCATCATGTTCCTACTGCTCTTATAGCTATAACACTTCCACGAAAGAGGGAGAAACGGAGAGAGTGGCCAATTGTTACAAATACCAGTACTATACTGGTTAGAATAAATGTCTCCTAACTTAGCCAGATAAATTATCTTTTTCTGCAAAGTTTTTTTTTGTCATGTCTGGTGTGAGAGAATTGACTGTCTGCAAGGACGTTGCCCAGGGGACGCCTGGATGAATTGATGTTTTTATTATCCTTTTCTGCAAAGTGATGGAAACATAGGAAACTGCATGGTGGAATAAATGCAGTTTGACACTCCTTAAACTGCCATGGAAAAATGGTATGGATTCATGGGAGTTGTAGTTTGGTGAAGCACCATCACATTTTGGGGAAGAAGGTTTGTAAGAACCTTGTCAAGCTACAACCCCCAGGATCCCATAGAATTGAATTATGGCAGTTAACAGGGTCTTTAGCCTTCTCTGCAAGGTGTACTGGGGTTCTGACAAACTGAAACTCTTAGGATCCCATAGGATTGAGTAATGGCAGTAAAAGTGGTGTCAAACTGTCCCCAAAGGAGACAGTTTGACACCACTTTCCCAAGTGGTCTATTTCCCAAGCAAGTTGACTATCTTTCTACAGACTTTTGAGGACATATTATTTATGTCCCCTCCCAACTAAACAGTGTGGTGAATTTTCAATTGGTTATTTTGTGTGTGTGTGTGTATTGGTATTGGTTTATGTTTACAATTGGTTTTTATTTTTTTTGTAGTTTAATCACTTTTTAACCTTTGTATTTTGCAAATTTATATCTCTGTTTCTCATAAGTGTTGTAGGCCATCTTGAATCCCAAGGTAATAAACCACCTCAATAGACATCTTGAGCAACGATCAATCTATTTACCCCCAAAGACTGGAAACTTGATGCTTCTATTTGATGTGTGATATTTTGTCTTATATCTGATATAACAGGTTGTATTTTTCATTTGATTTTAGTTGTTAAGGCATAATTTGTTTTTATTTGTTGGGTTGTCAATGTTCATTAATTGTTTTTGTGTTTGGGCATTGAATGTTTGCCTTTTATGTTTGGAATCCACCCCAAGTCCCTCCGGGGAGATAGGGTGGAATATAAATAAGGTTTATTATTATAATAATACTGCCACATCCTCCAAATTTGCGGGGGTTAGGGGCGCAGGACTCCTACAAAAGTGAATAACCACAAACCAAGAAATTGCTTCTTTTTACCTCTTTAGAAACTTCTAGGTCTTCTGGTATGACTCTAGGGCAATGGTTCTCAACCTGTGGGTCCCCAGGTGTTTTGACCTAAAACTCCCAGAAATCCCAGCCAGTTTACCAGCTGTTAGGATTTCTGGGAGTTGAAGACCAAAACATCTAGGGACCCAAAAGGCTGAGATTCTGTGGGATGCTGGCCACAGAAACACTTCAGAGGACCTAAAGGTTCTTAGAGAGATTTTTATAGAGAGATGTTCTCTCTAGAAATCTCAAAGTCTTCCAACATGATTGATGGAAGTTGACAATAGAGTAGCACTGAAAGACTCCTTGAAAATTAAATCTGTGAATAATCAAGTCCACAAAAGTCAAAAACCCAAAATTGTGTAGGGACTGACTGTAATAACTGTTGTTGTTGTTGTTGTTGTTGTTGCTATTATTACTATTATGACTCCTACTACTACTATTTAGTTTCTCTCCTCTTTCTCTCCTCTTGCTTGGAAGGAAGAAATTTCTTTTTGAGCAGCGCTCAAAAAATATCTGCTAATGCCTTTCAAGGTATTGGATCGAATATGGCAAACAGGTCTGAAATTCCATGTATTTCCTTTACCATTCCCATATTATTTGGCTTTTCAAGAGTTTCATATTTTGAGTTGCTTCGCTGGGGAAAGAAGCTCTTTTGAAGGCAACATTTAAAACAGCTGCCAAAATACCTTTTGTCGGAGCTGTGGAAACGGAGAAAATGTGGAGTTATGACACAAGATTAGCATATTCCAAAACACTTTTGCATCCAAGGGAAAAGAAGCAGGCACAGCAAACATTTTGGTTCTAGAGGTAAAAGAGGTTGAATGTGCAACTGCATTATGCACTTACCTTGAGGCAAGTCCCATTGAACTCAAGGAGACTTACTTCTAAGTAAACACATACAAGGTTGTGCTGTTCTTTGTTATGACCAACTTCCCATCCACACTGTAGAATTATAGCAGTTTGACGCCACTTTAACTGCCATAGCTCCATCCTATGGAATCCTGTGATTTGTAAGTGGGAATGTCTCACAAAACTACAAATTCCAGAATTCCACAGCGGTGAGCTATGGCAGTTAAAGTTATTTCAGCTACATCAAGAACTGCAAGTTCAAGGGCCCGGCTTGTCTAGCTTTCCAAAAGGTCAAATGAGACACAGATGGGTCTAAAGCAAATCAGAGGGATTTTTCCCAGTGGCCAAAGAGGATGGCAACAGAAAAAGCACTCCAAAGTACTGACTACCACAATTGCAAATACAGCCATTTTTATTTCATTTGATAGCTATTCAAGAGACCTGTGCCAGCTCTTGATTGTCTCAGTAACTAGACCCACTTCCTGTTGCCCGGGGATTCCCTCCAACACCATTGCTGGTTGGACTTTGTTGTGCTAGAAAACTCAAATGAACTGCAATCAGATTATTTGAAATGTCCATCTGTTTATAAATCTGCCTCTGAGAGAGGCACAATGGGAAAGGAATGCAATGTTGGCATTGGGTGGTGAGCTCATGATGAGCTTAATGGTTTGGCTGTAGTGGACACAACAAGGTTAGTCCAAAGTATAATAAGTGCTTGAAGATGATGTCCATTTCAGTGGGTGTTGTAAGGGCAAGGTGTCATTCCTACAGATAGCCTAGATCAGGGGTCCTCAAACTTTTTAAACAGAGGGCCAGGTCACAATCCCTCAAACTGTTGAAGGGCCAGAATATAATTTGAAAAAAAAACATGAATGAATTCCTATGCACACTACACATACCTTATTTGTAGTGCAAAAGACACTTAAAAACAATACAATAATTTAAATGGAGAACAATTTTAACATCATAGGTCCTGGGTAGTATTTCAGTGAGAAGTGTGGGCCTACTTTTGGCTGATGAGATAGGATTGTTGTTGTTGTTGTTGTTGTTGTTGTTGTTGTTGTGTGCTTTCAAGTCATTTCAGACTTAGATTGACCCTGAGTGAGGGCTGGATAAATGACCTTGGAGGGCTGCATCCAGCCCCCGGGCCTTAGTTTGAGGACCCCTGGCCTAGATGATATCAGGAAAAGCAGAAAACAGACCCAGGACCTATGATGCAAATTAACTTAATGTTTCCCTCTCATCTCCCAGATCATTGTAAGGGAGTTATGGAAATTGAAGTGAAAGTTTCTTGGGGTCTGGATGTTTAGACAGCATTCCTAAGACTCTTCTTGAAAAGGAGTTATTATAAGATAAGGGCATGTTCATTCAATATGAGATCCAATGTCTCCTAATTTATAGATTTTAAATTATTTCGTAATTTGGGGTCTGGTTTCCCAGTATCAAAACTGCTATAATTTTGCTGTGTGAATACAGCCCAGGAGTGACAGTAATCCTCCAGCTGTTGCTGATTTGCAAGTCCAACTGCCCTAGTGATTGTACAGAATGTAGTTATAGTCCAACAACACTTGGAAAGCTACACAATTTCCAGCTACACAATAAAGAGGAAAGGATCAGATGAGTCTCTTTCCTGTTAGAATCATAGAGAAGTTCAGCCATCCAGATCAAGTTCTCATTCATGTCCAAATGTGGATAAAGCAGAGTGACTTATTTGGATTACAGCTCCTAGATTTTCCCAGCATTGTTACACAAAGAGAAAATTTGGCAACTGTTATCCAAACAAGAGGATCAAATGAATTTGTACCCAAATTGGCATAGTTTGTATAGAGTAGGCAAGAGCTGATGAGTTGGTAGAACAGATAGAGTAGACCAGAGTCAATGAGTTCATATAGAGTAGACCTGTGTATTACACCAGGGATCCATTCCAAGACCCTTAGTGTAATATGGTTTTTGCATAATCTGGAACTCTGTTTTAATTACTCAAAAGGAGGAATGTCTTGGGCTTCTGGCCAAAACATATCATAGAATGCCTCTGGAGGACTAGAAAATACCTAAGGAAATGTTCTCTCTAGACTTCCAGCATAATTCTAGGATCAACTTGCAGCAGAACGTCCAGCTGGAGGACCTAGAAAGATGTTTTCTCTAAGAATTTTTAGGTCCTCTAAAATAACTCTATGGCCAACCTTTGGCAGATCTAACCACAGAGTTGTACTGGAGTACCTAGGAATCCCTAGAGAGCATATTAATCAAATCTGCAAATAGGATAAAACGTAGTTCTGTAATCTGGTTAGGATGTGTTTCACACTTAAAGAGCTTGCCATAAATCTACTAAATAGAAATAAAATACAAGTCTAAATGGGTACTGTAGATCTGAGTGACAACAAGAGGATTGACTTGTGCGTGTGTTCTGCTCATGCTTAAGAAACCCATGCAGGATCCATGCATTCAAAATGTGCTTCAACCATCTGTGAACCACGATCCTTGGCAACTACATCATTCATAACAGCGTCACAACTCGAGGGCAACAACAAGTGCATGGGATCTCAAAGTACTCACTTGCTAGTCAGATGGACCTTTGGGGTGATGCCAAATTCTCCAAAAAGAATCACGAAGACATTGGCATCAGTGCCTGCTCCCCGGATATCTCCTGTCACTGTCACCACTTCGTAGACTGCAGGCACAAAAGGATGGAAAATCATGAACTCAAAGAAAATAGGCTCTTATTGGGTGGAGCTACTTCAGAACATTTCAAACTGTGTATCGTGGCACATTAGTGGGTTGACTGTAGTGTGTAGGTGTTTCATGCAAAAGTAACAATAAACCTCTGAGTTTATGTGAAATAAGAAATACCAATGACACCATTGATAGCATCAAGCTTAAAAATGCTTGATGGAGAAATGCGAGTGTCATTATCTATTATTCTACCAAGTAGGCATTCATCCCATCAACCTCATCATTAAAATGATGTTTATTAGTGTTAAACATTTTTAATTCTTGCACATATTGACATATTGCTATTCATAAATGGCAAAAATCTTGCAAATGTATTACATTACCTTGCAAATCATATATATATATATATATATATATATATATATATATATATATATATATTTCATGAGATAGCATTTCATTATTACATTTTATGTAGGCATCTATTTAGACATGCATCATTTTGCAACACAGTAATTCAGTTTTACAAGCAAAGAAGAGGTTAAACCAACCCCCAAGAAAAGATAATAGAATCTATGATTCTATTATCTCTTCTTGGGGGTTGGTTTAACCTCTTATTTGCTTCTAAAACTGAATTACTGTGTTGCAAAATGATGCATGTCGAAAAAGTATGTCACCAACATGAAATGGTTGGAAAGCTCTAATTTATGCCAGATCTAATTCACTTTAACTGCAAGGGCTGAATGCTATGGACTGGAATCGTGGGAACTGGTGAGGCACCAGCATTATTTGGCAGGGAAGACTAGAGATATTGTACACTGGATATACTGGATTATATGGCAGTGTAAAAGGAGGCCTAAGAAGTCATTTCTCATTCTTGTCCGTTTGGATTGGCCTCAGCTCCTTCACAGCACACGTTCCGAATCTGAGAGTTTTGTGTGTGTCAGGAGCGACATGAGGAACTGCAAGTTGCTTCTGTTGTGTGAGAATTGGCCGTCTACAAGGACGTTGCCCAGGGAATGCCCAGATGTTTGATATTTTTACCATACTTGTGGGAGGCTTCTCTCATGTTCTCACATGAGGAGCTGGAGCTAACAGAGGGAGCTCAACCTGCTCTCCCCAGATTCAAACCGCTGACCTATCAGTCAGCAATCCTGCTGACACAAGGGTTTAACTCATTGCGCCACCGATATTATATTATATGGGGTATAATATAGATCTATATTTAATAACATCTCTCAAGTGACCAAAAACTACATTTATCTAACATCTACCAATCTCCATGAGTGTTGCTCATGGTTAGCTCAGGTTCCATCTACACTGCCATATAATGCAGTTTCAAAATGCAAATTAAGTACATTGAACTGGATTAAATGGCAGTATGGAGTCATATAATCCAGTGCAATGCAGTTCAATCTGCATTACATAAGTCTACGTTGACCATTATAATGCAGATCATTATAAGGCTTAAGTGTACTTGTTGTAACATAACGTTTTCAAAAACTATTCTGACGTATGCACTGAGCAATTATTTTACACCATCAAAAGTAATTCTAACCAAGTAACCAATTAAAAAAATTAGCCTTGATAGGACGCTTTCTGTATACTTTTGGACAGAGCTTCAGGAAAGGTCCATAACAAAACCATGCCTGGACGCCACTTCTAGTTGTTCCCTGCATGTCATGTAACTTTAGCACAAAGAGCTAATGCCCTGCCTCCTACATTCACAGACCAAAATAGTGCTTTGCACCAGGAGGCACAGAGAAGTGAGCTATTGTCTGGATCCCTTAACGCTTGATTAGTGAGCTAAGTCCAACATTATTTCTGAGTCATCACATGAAGAGTGCCTCTTGAGTCATTTGGTATCCAAACCAGAAGCAAAACCTCCATCTCCTTTTTTGGAAGCTGGAGAAATACAAATGTCTTGGTTTCATCAAAGTGGTGACAGGCTTCAGTTCAGAAATGGGCAGAATCTAATCTAGAATTTTTACTTTGGAGAAGACAGGCAACATTCAGCTCTTTTTTCTGTAATCTATCCATTTTCTGAGCGAAGGCTGAGCGAAGGAAGATCGATGCTTTTGAGCTGTGGTGTTGGAGGAAAGTGCTGAGAGTGCCTTGGACTGCGAGAAGATCCAACCAGTCCATCCTCCAGGAAATAAAGCCCGACTGCTCACTGGAGGGAAAGATACTAGAGACAAAGTTGAAGTACTTTGGCCACATCATGAGGAGACAGGAAAGCCTAGAGAAGACAATGAGCTGGGGAAAGTGGAAGGCAAAAGGAAAAGGGGCTGACCAAGGGCAAGATGGATGGATGGCATCCTTGAAGTGACTGGATTGACCTTGAAGGAGCTGGGGGTGGTGACGGCCGACAGGGAGCTCTGGCGTGGGCTGGTCCATGAGGTCACGAAGAGTCGGAGACGACTGAACGAATGAACAACAACAACATCCATTTTCACCAATATACCAATGTTAGGGAGCCATTTGACTTGCAGGTGCTCCCAGAAATATTAGATGATATAGGCTTTGAATTCTGGATGTGGAATTGCTCCCAACTTGTAAGCCACCTTGAGTTGCCTTCGGGCTGAGAAAGGCGATAGAAATATTGTTAATAAATAAATAAATAATAGCTGTTGTATGGTATGTTTAGGTATAGCAATAGGTTTTTAAATACCTGAATGGATAGGCAATTCTTCTTGGGTTTTTTTTTTTGTGCCTTGAGAATGTCATAATGTGAGACCTTACCTCCCATTCAAGGTATTTGTTCCACAATCACAGAAAACCTGCTCATCCAGGCTTGGGGTTTTTCTCTATGAGCAAACCATGCCTGCATTGGTCAAGGCCCACTGAAATAAGTAATGGCTTGCTACCACTTCATTAAGGTTAAACTCTTGTGCTGGAGGACTGAAGACCGATAGGTCACAGGTTCGAATCCGGGGAGAGTGCGGATGAGATCCCTCTCTCAGCTCCAGCTCCCCGTGCGGGGACATGAGAGAAGCCTCCCATAAGGATGGTAAAACATCAAAACATCCAGGCGTCCCCTAGGCAACGTCATTGTAAACGACCAATTATCTTACACCAGAAGTGACTTGCAGTTTCTCAAGTTGCTCCTGACATGGGAAAAAAAACACTTCATTCTTTGAAGTCAACTGCCTCTAGTTCATCAGTCCATATGTTTGCTTAGAACTGGTATGTTTTTGAGTTTTATACTGTATACTGTATTTTTTTAGTGTTGTTAATCACTTTGGATCTATTTTTAGATAAACAAACTTTATAAATAAATAAAAATGTAATATTCATTTGTGGGATTAACATAACTCAAAAAGCACTGGACAAATTGACACCAAATTTGGACACAATACACTTATCAGGCCAACGAGTGACCGTCACTCATAAAAACATGGAAAAACACAGTGGAAGAGACTTAAGAAGCAAAAAAAAAGTTACAACACATGTGCAAAACCACATATATAAATGCAAACACACATATATACACATATACACAAATATATATACACACACAAAACACTTATACACAGACTGGGCCACAGCAATGCATAGCAGGGGACGGCTAGTCTATATAAATAAAAATATCATGTTCATTTGTGGGATTAACAGAACTCAAAAATCACTGGACAAATTGACACCAAATTTGGGCACAATATGCTTATTAGGCCAACAAGTAACCATCACTCATAAAAATATGGGAAAACGCAGTGGAAGGGACGTAAAAAGCAAAAAAATAAATAATTTACAATGCATGCACAAAACCATATATATACACACACAAAACACAGACTGGGTCACAGCAACGTGTAGCAGGGGATGGCTAGTAGTATATAAATAATAATAACAACAACCACAATGATCTAAAATATCTGGTAACACAAACACACAGCACATGGCATACTGAAATGACTGACAGGCCACCATGTTGGGCAGTTCTCCTCCAGATTTAAAGATGTGCCACAAAAGAAGAGGAAGTGCAACTGTGAACCAAGTTTTAAAGAGTTCATCTACGCTGCAGAATGAATTCAGTGTGACACTACTTGAACTAAGAAGGCTCAGTGTTATGGAATCATTGGAGGTGTAGCTTTGGTCCTTAGCCATCTCTGCCTAAGAGTGCTTGCGCAGCCCGTTTAAAGATTTATATGAATATACAGTTTTCTATATGTTCTCACTATCTGCAATGTCTGTCACGGAGCATCTATTTTAAGTCACCAAAATACGTAGTGACCCTAAAGCTTCATGTTCAAGAGATAAGTTGTGTGATGTGTCTTGACAGACCCACTGAAGTAGAATAGAACTGCACCCCACAGGCAGGATGAGTATATCCAGTTTTCCAATTTTTTAATTAACAAGAATAGAAGACACCACAAAACCTTAACCTCCAAGAAGCCAAGAGGACCAAAATTTAGGAAACGATGGATTACAACACTTAGCAGTCCCCTAGCAAGCATAGACTTTGGGAGTTCCAGCCTGAAGACAACTATTCTAAGTGTTGTCGAAGGCTTTCATGGCTGGAATCACTGGGTTACTATGGGTTTTCTGGGCTGTATGGCCATGTTCCAGAGGCATCCTCTCCTAACATTTCACCCACATCTATGGCAGACATCCTCAGAGGTTGTGAGGTCTAATTCCACAGTGTAGATGGATTATCAATCCTCACAACTTTTGAGGATGCCTGCCATAGATGTGGGTGAAACATCAGGGGAGAATGCCTCTGGAATATAGCCACACAGCCTGGAAATCTCACAGCAACCCAACTATTCAAAGCTCTGACGAAAACACAGATACACACTAAAATAACATAGCAATCCTAAATTACTAAGTTGAATATTTTCTTGGCAGGTTCAGAAGAGCTATTTGAACAGCTGAATAGCCTGTCCCATGTGGTAGTAGACCTCTCCTTCTTAGAAGGTCTTTAAACAAACGTTGGTGGGCCTTATTTCAGGAGTGTGTTGATTATATATTGCTACATAACTGAGGTTTAGACTATCTCCTTCCAGTCCTATGCTTCTATGATCCCAATAGGATGAAGAAAGACCCGAGAGTTGAGATACTACATCAGGTTGTATAACGTGAGCATCTGTATATAAATTTACACACTCAGACAGGCATCCCTTTGCTTAGTACCACCTATAGTATACACATTGGATCAATTGTTGAATGTTGGGTCAACACAAAAATAATTATAGTAAATTCAATCGGTCTACTCTAGTCAGAATTAGACCGGAGGTTTAGCACAGCAAATCATCAGCAATTATAAGATCTATCAACCAAAAGGTTGCAAGTTCAAAGCCCCTGGTTGGCGTGAGCTGCCAACTGTCAGCCTAGCTCATTGTTTACCTAAACAATTCAAAAACAGCTTTAGCTGTAATTAGAGAAATTAGGTACCACTAAAAGTGGGGGAGGTGTTTTATGAGGCCATAAAGAAAGATAAGAAAATGCTGAGTGGCCAAAAGGAAGGAAGAAGTCCTGACAGCTCTTTGTCATAGAGAATAGAGCAACCACACCCCTGGACTCAAGCCCAATCTTCCATGGCACCTCCTTCTGTTCTTTCTGTCTGTGTATTGTCTATACAAAGCGGCATTGAATGTTTGCCGTGTATGTGTACTGTGATCAGCCCTGAGTCCCCTTCAGGGTGAGAAGGGCGGAATATAAATAAAGTGTTATTATTATTATTATTATTATTATTATTATTATTATTATTAAAATAGGATTTAGGCTAAACTGTACAACATGATCCTTGCAACATCAAAAGGCAGTGTTGCATCCTGAACCAAGGTACCAAATGGGCAGAAACCAAAGTGTGACCATCTCTAGCAGATGTCCTTCATTATGAGGGATTGCCATCTGCTAGGAGTGCTTTGATTGTGTCTTCCTATATGACTGCAGGTTGGATTAGTTAGCCCTTGTGGTCTCTTCCAACTCCATGATTCTATGTGGACTCCACGTCTATGTACAACTGCACATCTTCACCTTTACCTGAATGAACACAGATATTCTGTGTTAGGTGAAACCAAGCAACCACTAATGGGAACATATGCATTTATATTACAAGAGACTCGTTCTGGCTTAGAAGAGTTAGTGTTGCCTTTACAATTATGGCTACAGACTTGGGCAAGCAAAGTAAGGCAACGGATTTTAGATGCACCCTCAGTTTTTATCCCAGCCTATAGATGCATTCCCTCTCTTTCTCTGTCTATTTCAATCTCTCACAAACACATTCCTTTCTGTCCTCTGAACAATTCTGTAAAGTAAAACAAACCAGATCATTTCATGGCTGAGTCAGGATGTGACCAGGAGTCTCCATCATAGACTCAGGGTACATCTACGCAGTAGAATATATGCAGTTGGACACCACTTTAATTGCCATGGCTCAATGCAACAGAATAATGGGAGTTGGAATTTGATTGTTCTTCAGTCTGCTCTCCCAAATAGCACTGGTGCCTCACCAAACTACAACTCCTATGCTTCATTGCATTCAGCCATGGCAGTTAAAGTGGTATCAACCTGCATTAATCAGTATAGATCAGGCATGGGCAAACTTCGGCCCTCCAGGTGTTTTGGACTTCAACTCCCACAATTCCTAACAGCCGGTAGGCCAGTGTTTCTCAACCTTCCTAATGCCGTGACCCCTTAATACAGTCCCTCATGTAGTGGTGACCCCCAACCATAATATTGTTTTCGTTGCTACTTAGTAACAGTCATTTTACTACTGTTATAAATCATAATGTAAATATCTGATATGCAGAATGCATTTTCATTCACTGGACCAAACTGGGCACAAATACCCAATACACCCAAATGTGAATGCTAGTGGGGTTGGGGGAGGATTGATTTTGTAATTTAGGAGTTGTAGTTGCTGGGATTTATAGTTCACTTATAATTAAAGAGCATTCTGAACTCCACCAGCGATGGATTTGAACCAAATTTGGCTCCCATGACCAATGGAAAACACTGGAAGGCTTTGATGGACATTGACCTTGAGTTTGGGAGTTGTAGTTCACCTATATCCAGGGAGCACTGTGGACTCATGCAATGGTGGATCTGGACCAAATTTAGCACAAATACTCAATATGCCCAAATGTGAACAATGGTGGAGTCTGGGGAAAATGGATCTTGACATTTTGGAGTTGTAGTTGCTGGGATTTATAGTTCATTACAATCAAAGAACATTCTGAACTCCACCAATGATAGAATTGGGTCAAACTTCCCACATGGAATCCCCATGACCATCAGAAAATATTGTGTTTTCTTATGGCCTTTGGCGACCCCTCTGACACCCCCTCATGACCCCCTCAGGGGTCCCGACCCCCAGCTTGAGAAACACTGCAGTAGGCTATTAGGAATTGTGGGAGTTGAAGTCCAAAACACCTGGAGGGCCGAAGTTTGCCCATGCCTGGTGTGGATGGATCCACAATCCAGTTCCACTGTACCAGTTCTGCACATTTCTCAATAATGGAAACATTATTAAAACTAGAGCTCTGCTTGTTATGAATTCCAGCTTATTAGCTGTCCACACTCACCTTTTTTCTTGTTGTACTCATCTTCCGATTCATGGGCCGAGTCTGAATGGTAATCCCGAAGCTCCTGTTCGTACATCGCCGCAAAGTTCTCGTCGTCCTTTTTCTTTTTCTTGTCTTTGCTCTTGGATTTCTTGTGTTTCTTCTTCTTCTTCTTTTTCTTCTTCTTTTTCTTCTTCTTCTTTTCCCCATAGTCATCGTCTTCGGTCTCACTACCACTATACTCTTTCTTCTTTTTCTTCTTCCTTTTCTTCCTCTCATCACCACTCCCTTCTTCCTCCGATGTAGCCCTTGGTTTCTTCTTTTCAATCACTTCTACTACCTCTTCCTCCTCCTCTTCTTCCTCTTCTTCCTCCATTTCTTCATCTTCTTCCTCAGATGATCTATACATCTTTCTGGACTTATCACCTGCTCTTCCTCCTCTCTTTCATTATATCATTCAGGCCCTCATTGCAATTTTTCTTTTGGGGTTCCTTTTTCAACAGCAAATCCTCTAGTTGATGCTCCCTTTAGTTGCCTTCTTTTCCAATGTTCTTGATCACTTCTAACTTCTCCGCATCTGTTTCTGTCTCTTCCTTGATGATTGTGCCTTAGCTTTTCTTTCCTCCTCTGACCAAAAATCCCATAAGTTGAAAGTGCCCTTGCTTGTCTTCCTCTTTTAAAATTACTCCTCCTTTCTCCCCTCGGCTTGATCAAATCCTCTTTTCCTTTTGTATCTTTCGTTATCCCTTTCCACCAACTTGTCTTCTTTTTCGGGCCCATTACTTATTCATTGACTTGAGCGGAGCGTTTCCTTCTTCTTCGGCACCTTTTTTTTTCCAAAGAGCTTTTGCTCTGCCTAGACTCAATCAGGCAAAAAGGCTATGGTGTCATACCTGGCCAATGGTAAGCAGTCTCCTTTTCCAAATGTAGGTCAGGAGGGAGAACGTCGTGAAATGCTATCTTAGGCCTTAGACTTGAGCGGCGGGCAAACCTTATCCCGCTTTGTTTCTCAGAGTACCAACCGCAGCTTCTGAAAGCTCAGAAGGGGGAAAAGTTACCTGCCGTTCCTTCGGTCAGGTGACAGCAAGACAGACAGTGAGATGAAAAGAGAGAGACCCATCCAGCTACCTTATCTGGCTGGTCTGCAGTTGCCTCTCCATTATTCATGGCACTCAGGGTCGCTTTACAGCAAAGGATCTCCAACTTAGTCACCGAAAGACTCCCAAAGTCAAAAGAAGAATAAGGTTTGGAGTTCCTTCCCCCAAATCGTATCAATAGCCCCTGATCCAATGTGTTATGGTGCCAAATTATGGATAATGGATGCCCCCTTTGCACCCTGAGTATTCTTCTGTTTTCTTTTAAAGCAAGCTTGGGGGGCAACTACACCAGAATTAACAGTTTGCCATGACTCGGTTCTGTGGCATCATGGTGATTATAGTTTTACAAGATCTTTAGTCTTCTCTGCCCAAGAAGGCTGGTGCTTCACCAAATTACAAATCCCAGAATTCCAGATCACTGAAGCCATGGCAGCTAAAATGACTTAAGACTTATGTCATAAGTCATTTTAGGAGATTCCATTTGAACATTAGGAAGAACTTCCTGACTGTGAGAGCTGTTCAGCAGTGGAACTCTCTGCCCCGGAGTGTGGTAGAGGCTCCTTCTTTGGAGGCTTTTAAAGAGAGGGTGAATGGCCATCTGTCGGGGGGTGCTTTGAATGCAATTTTCCTGCTTCTTGGCAGGGTGTTGGACTGGATGGCCCAGGAGGTCTCTTCCAACTCTATGATTTGATGACCCATTGGGTTTCCAAGGTGGAGTGGGGATTCAGACCCTAGTTTCCAGACTCATAATCCAACACCCAAAGTACTAAAAAAAGATGGTTTTGAAATATTTCACAAGACTGATTTCAGTATTTACTTTTAAAATCCCAGAAAAGTAGGTACCAGGGGAAAGGATTTCACTACCTCTGAGGATGCTTGCCATAGATGCAGGCGAAACGTCAGGAGAAAATGCCTCTAGAACATGGCCATATAGCCTGGAAAACCTACAACAACCCAGATTTCACTAAGCTTTCCCTAAGACACATTTGTATTTATACACAGTATAGCAATCTTTTTTTTAAACTAGACATGAGCAGCATTCAAAGACCTCCAAAGACTTGACTGCAGTGGGGGTGGGGACAACTACTCAGGATTTTAACCTCACACTCAACCTTCTGTTCACTGTGTGACCTTGGATAAAGTTGCTACCAATTAGTCATAGCACTCTATCTGCAAAATGTAATTAAAAATTGAAATAATATCTACCTGCAACCTAGGGGCATTCTGTCGCAGGAATTATTGGGGGTATTCCAGGAAGCAGAGTCTATGTCTGACATATTGTAAAGGACAGCCAGTTTGAAATTGCTGGAAGGTTTTTACAGGCATTTCATCAGTTGAGAGGAAAACACATCATACATATGTAGGGTTGTGAGTTTAGGATCATGCAATGCCTAATTTTTTTTAGGACAAATGTTCCCGAATTTTGGCATGACAATCCCAATTAAAGTTCTCCCATCCCACTTTTCAGCTGCTTTTTGCATGTCCTCGTTGAGTGATTTCAGCTCCACTACAACCACAGGGTCAGGATCCTGGCATGTCAAGTTAATGCCAAATCAGACACAGATGAGTAGAAGGTAAAAGCAGATATCTATTCTCACTGGATGGAGAGGATGTCAGCAGAGAAAGTATTCCAGAGTACTGCAGAACACAACTGAAAATGCAAGGCATTTTTATTTCATCTGATAGCTATTCAAGAGACCTGTGTCAACTCCTGATTAGCTGAAAAATTGTCTGACTAGGATTTTTGTCCCGAGTGGCTCAGGACTCCACCAGCCATCATCACTGAGTGGTTCTTTGTATGGTAGGAAGTTCAATAAACTGTCATTGCAGCATTTGAATGTAAAATATAAGGTATATGCACTTGCTAAATCCTGGTAGAGCTGTGGCTTCTTTTTATATATTTTATGCTATTTCATGATTTGTAGTCCGGTTCGATTTTGTTGCACACCAAGGCTGGAAGCGCACCTTTGAACCCACAACACCCCAAAGTTCTTTAGCAAATAAACAGTTTATTGAATAAATGCAAGCAATATCAAAAAAGTTGAAAAAGGCAAGTAAAAGATTGAAAAAGAAAGTCTAAAAACAATCTAACCCAGCAGGTCAGCAAATATAGTCCATCAAAGAGAGCAGAGTTGATACTTAATTCCACAGCAAAATCCACAAATGCATAGTCCTTAAAACCCACAGAGGATAATGTCCAAAGTCCCTTGAAAAGCCAGGAAACAAGGTTGCACAGATCCAAAATCCACAGAAGAATTACACATGAAAACATTCACCAACAGCAACTTGAACATGAGTATTGAGCAGAGAGTTCCATGAATCTTGACATGACATATATACATGTCAAGACTTGACCGGTAACTGACGTTGCACTCACTGAAGGCAATGCTGTGAAAGCCCTATATTTATTCAAAAAGACCTATACAAAATGCATTCCAATTCCCTTGAGAACTTGCCTTCAAATTCCGCTTTTCCCTTATCCTGACAGACCTTCGGACTCCCCTTTGCAGGTGGCGATCTTGACAGATTTGACCCCTTCTATCAAAGGTTGATTCCTCCTGGTTGCTTGTTAACACATTCCTTCCGCTTTCCTTATCTAGCAACCTAAACTGTCTGGAAACCATTCTATCTTGAGAACTAACAATCCCAGAGTCTTCCAACTCCCTTTGCTCTGCAGTTTGTTCTGTGCCTCACTCACAATCCCCTGAGAATCTACATTAAAATCCAACATGGAAATCTCTGAAGGGTCCTGCTCTGAAGGAAATTGAACATAACCATAATCCTCATCTTGAGGCTCTGCAACAACCTCAGTTGACTGAGCTCCTACAGATTTCTCGATATCATCCTACTTCTTGCTCCTCCTCCTGCCCCCTTGTACTAGATTTCCTGATTTGTTTGCAAAGAGTTCAAAGTAAAGAAGGAGTTTGCACTCAGTTAAATCAGAAGAGGGAAAAGACAGAAGCTTTCCCTTCCTTGTTGTCTCACAAAAAAACAAACTGCTGCAGCTTCTCCTAGGACTTCATTGCAAAAAGGAGGCATTGAAGCTGGTCTGCATCCCTCCCATAATAAACCTGCCCTCCTTATCGACAAGAAAACCCATCAATTATAGAATCATAGAGTTGGAAGTGAGCCAAAATACCTCCAGTCCAACCCTATTCTGCCATTCAAGAACACACAAGCGAAATACTCCCGACAAAAGGTCAAGCCAGCCTCTGCTTAAGAACCCCCAGAGAAGTGGTTCTCAACCTGGGGTCTCCAGATGTTTTTGGCCTTCAACTCCCAGAAATCCTAACAGCTGGTAAACTGGCTGGGATTTCTGGGAGTTGTAATCCAAAAACATCTGGGGACCCCAGGTTGATAATCACTGCTCCAGAGAAAGCGACTCCACTGGACTTCCAGACAGAAGCATATTCCTACTATCAAGAAGTTCCCTCTAATTAAAAAATAAAACATTTGGGTTCATTTGGGGTAATTTTGCTTATGATATGAGTTGCGACATGGAATGTAGGTCTTCCTCTCACCTCCTCCCTATTTTGCCATATTTCCAGATATCACAAATTGCCATCCTCGTGTGACCTCTCTTCTCCCCACTATTTGTTTATTTGGTTGAACCTTGCATTTTAAAAGGTGGAAGCTTAACGGGATTGCTAGTAAAATATAGAAATTTAGCAGTAGCAGCAACTGTTGTAGTTGCCGTAAAGTCAACTCTGACTTATAGTGACGCCAAAATGGGATATATGGCTACTGGGAGAAAAATTAGAAATCTCCTAATTCAATAGTTCTTTCTGAAACTATTAATACTTCAGAAAAGAAAGGAAAAGGAAATGAGGATTTTATCATGTCCAGTTTAGTGGAATCCTTTTTCTTGCTACTTGAATCCTGTTCTCCAGAGCAGGAGAACACAAGCTTGGCCCCTTCTCAATGTGACATCCTTTCAAATATTTAAACATGGCTATCATGTACCCTCTCAGCCTTCTCTTCTCCTGATCATTTACCCGGT